TCTTTCCATCAGTCTCCCCTATGAAATCTTCCATAAATTATCCTTTTATCACTATCTATTGCCTGTGAAGTGAATTTTCCTTTTTTCTTTTTCTTTTTTATTTAGAGATAGAGCTGTCACCCGGGCTGGAGTGCAGCGGCGCAATCTCGACTCACTGCAGTCTCTGCCTCCCAAGTTCAAGTAATCCTGCCACCTCTGCTGCCCTAGTAGATGGGACTACAGGCCCGCGCCACCAATGCCTGTCTAATTAATTTTATTTTATTCATTTATTTTTTTTTTTATTTTGTATTTTTAGTAGAGATGGGGTTTCACCATCTGGGCCAGGCTGGTCTTGAACTCCTGATCTCAGGTGGTCCATGCACCACGGCCTACCAAAGTGCTGGAATTAGAGCTGTGAGCCACCACACCCAGCCTGTCAGTTTTCTTTTGGAGAATAAAACAGATTAAGTCTTGTGCCAAAATGCAGGGACGCCGCATTCAGAGAGGTAACAATATATTATATACAATAATAGATAGGTTTTGTACATACCAATAATAACCATTTAGAAAACCAAATTGAAAAAAATTACACTTATATAGTGACAAAAATACATAAAATATCTAAAACCAGATGATTGGAGCAAGATGGCAGGTAGATCCCATGCCCCACTCAACATTCCATTGCACTGGGAAGAAAACGTTTTCAAGGGTCAATTCTTAACAGTAGAGGAAAATAGGAAAACGTGTCAGTGGTCCACCAGAAATATTGAGGCATTCCTGGGAGATAGAGTAGATGGGATCAGACTGATAGCGAAACCCAAGAAGACAAGACCACAGCTCAAATCACTGTAGGCAAGAGATGCTGTTTGTTTTTTGAGACAGACTTACTCTGTCACCCAGGTTGAAGTGCAGTGGTGTGATCTCGGCTCATTGCACCCTCTGTCTCCTGGGTTCAAGGGATTCTCCTGCCTCAGCCCCTGCAGTAACTGGGATTCACAGGTGCCCACCACCAAGGTTGGCTAATTTTTGTATTTTTAGTAGAGATAGGGTTTCGCCATGTAGGCCAGGCTGATCTCGAACTCCTGACCACAAGTGATCTGCTTGCCTTGGCCTCGCAAAGTGCTGGGATTACAGTGTCAGTCACTGTGCCCAGCCAGGAGATGCTCTTTGTAACAAAGCCTATGAAAAACTCTAAACCCAGAATCAAAATTACACGGTGCAGGAAAGGACCTTAGGATAATCATCAGGTAGGTAAATTTAAAAGTTCATTTAAAACAACTGAATCACTAGATTCCCCTCCAACACCACACTCAGATTGGCTGGCAGTAGCCACTTTTGCCTCTAAGATGAAACTCTGCTAATTGTTCATTAAAGAAAGTGAAGACCTGGCCAGATGGCTCACACTTGTCATCCCAGCACTTTGGGAGGCTGAGGCAGGAGGATTGCCTGAGGCCAGGAGATCCAGACCAGCCTGGGAAATATAGTGGATCCCATCTCTACAAAAAAATACAAAAATTAGCTGGGTGTGGTGGCGTTTCTCTGTAGTTCCAGCTAGTTGGGAAGCTAAAGTGGGAGAATCCCTTGAGCCTGGGAGATTGAGGCTGCAGTGAGCTGTACTTGCATCACTGTACTCCAGCCTGGGTGACAGAGTGCGATCTTGTCTTTAAAAAACACAAAAAAGTAAGGTATCAGGACTTGGTGTATCTTCAGCACTTCACAGTAACAATGAAGGAGAGAAACACATTTGTGGAGAGGGGACTATGTTCACACATTATCTACACATGATAGACAGATAGTCAGGAGCTTTATATACCCAACTAGCCTAAGGAAAAATGTTCCCTGTCATGACTCAGAATCTTCCAGCCACCCTTCCTTGCACCTGTCTGGAGGGCTGGGGGACACAACTTATGGATCTCATCATCTCAAGGAGAAAGAAATATCAAATCCTTCAGTATCTCTTTTGGGGTACACTCTCCTCTGTCTCCATGGAGGATAAGGCACTCAATATCTAGTAGCCGAATGTTGCATTTGTGTAATACAGAACTATCTGGGATAAAATAGAATTTGTTTCCTCTGAGACACAGGTAGAGGTATGTCCACACTGACCTGGGTGGCAGCCACCTCCTCCTGCAGTGCCAGGCAGGGCATGCTCACAGATCTGGCACCCTGTCCCTCTGGTGGTTGTGACAGCTCACACTTTGCCTTGGGTCTCCCCTGCTTCTTTGCCTGCCCTTCTTCTGCCCACACTGCATATCTGTCTCCCACTGTCCCAACTATGACCATGATTACCTCCCCCTCCCTGCACTCTGTCTCTCCTAGGGCTCCTTGTCTGGGGTAAATGAACCCACAGCCTTTACATGGTGATTGGAAACAGAACCCAGGGCCTGTTCAATTCTCCCTCCCTCCATCACACACACCTGTCCTCCTTAATGTTTCTGACGTCGATGAGCTCCAAACTCAGCTCCTCCTGCACCTGTCAGCTGTAAGACCTGTGATAAGACACCTACCATCTGCCTGGGACTCTGTCTCTCATCTATCATATAGGCATAATGATGATAGTGTCCTCCTTCCAAGGCTGGGGAGGACCAGGAGGCCAAGGTGATGGGCCACAAGCAGTAAAAACAGTTCCAATCCTGCCTCCACCTGGGGCTGGTGTTTCAAGCCCCTTGTGTGTGAATGGAGCTTTGATGCCTCCATTCACACACAATGATTTGTTCTAAAATAGACTCCCCTCTGCCCTTCCCTTCCCCACATCTGTTTCCCCTCTGCACCATATAACGGTAACTGTGAGAAAGAACTGTCCCATTCCAAATCATCGTCCCCACCCCAGCTCCCAGGCCCTTGGTTGGTGAGACCCTTGATGGGCAGTCTCATGCTTCTGTCCAGGGGACTTTCCCACCGTTGATCCCCTGCATGGAGACTAAGTGGACTCTTCTATTCCCTGTCCATCACAGGGTCTACCGTGCACGCATCTTCCTCATTCCTCCACGTTCCCCAGATGATGATTTCATCTGTGTCTCCTCCCCCATACTCCCAAATGGACTGTCCCAGACCTAGAACTTGAAAATCGTTCAGAGAGCAAAGGCCAAGATGCCCAACCACCTGCTGCAGAATCCTGCTCCAGGACTGAAGTGTATGGTCTCTATCAAAATAAAAACTGGAGGCCAGGTGCAGAGGCTCACACCTGAATCCTAGCACTTTAGGAGGCCAAGGTGGGAGGATCGCTTGAGCCCAGAAGTTCAAGATGGCATTGAGCTATGACCATGCCACTGCACTCCAGCCTGGACAGAGCAAGACCCCGTCTCTAGAAACCAACCAACCAACCAACCAACCAACCAACCAACTGGAAACATCCTCCTCTAGAATGGTGGTCAGGAACATCTGTCTGCCTTGTTCCCTGATGTCTCTCCAGCACCTAGAACGGCGCTCAGCACGAGTAAGCACTCATTAGGTTTTTGTTGAATAAATGACTCCTTTGACGCAGCAATTGCACTTCTAAGAGTCTTTCCTAAAGAAATATTCACACACGTGCACAGAGCTGCGTGCACAATAATGAGAGGAGCAAACAACTGGGGAACGTTTGCAAAGTTTTATTAACTGTCAGTGACCGATACAAGGGAATAGGATGAGGGGAGTATATGCTGAACAGGAAACAGAATGAGGGGGGCTTGACCAGGATGCATGGCAACGGGGAAAAGCAGATGGGAGATGCTTATAGTGGTTCTTGGTGTGTGGGTGTGTGTGTGTGTGTGGTGTGTAAATGCAGATGAAAAAATTTGAAGTTAAACACTCACACCTGCCCTCAGTAGTCACATCTGGGGAGAGAAGAGGGTAGTGCTGTTCTATGCAGAGAATACCTGACTATACTTGTTTTCAGAGGTAGGTGCATGGATACACAAACCGAAATACGCATTTAGTAAGTCTTCCTCATCAATAAAATTACTAATGTCTAACAGAATGGCACACTGTAAGAAAATACAACAGAAACGCTAACATCGAAGTCTTGGCACACTAAGAAAAACAACGGTCAACTTTTCACTGTTGTGAACACTTGCTTTCACTTCCTATACACCTGATGACGAGGGGTCCGCAGCCATGCCCATGATCGTGAAAGGTCACCACGTTCTGCTTCTGATCATGGGCATGTATCATATCCCTGAGGCTGAGGCAAAAAGAGAGAAGGAAGGTAACTGGCAGTGAGTTCCCACTGCCCAATAACTCAATCTCAACTCCTCCTGACCTGCAGACCCTGCACACTCCGATTCTGCCCTACCTCAGGACTTACACATGCCTTCCATGGTTCCTCGAAGTGAACTATCTGCTCATGCCACAGTACCTTCCTCGCCTGGGTTATCAATTCCTAGGCTAGAGGAAGGTGTGGCCCACATATCAGGGCTGACCTGGGGTTTGGGAACCCACAGCATCCTACGTAGGAAGGATCCCTGGATATACAGGGCAGGGAGTAGAAAGAGCATGGGAAGGCTGGGCACAGTGGCTCACGCTTGTAAACCCAGCATTTTGAGAGGCTGAGGCATGCGGATCACGAGGTCAGGAGTTCAAGAACAGCCTTACTAACATGGTGAAACTCCGTCTCTACTAAAAACACAAAAATTTGCCAGGTGTGGTGTTGCACATCTATAATCCCAGCTACTCAGGAGGCTGAAGAAGGAGGGAGGTAGAGGTTGCAGTGAGCCAAGATCACGCCAGTACACTCCAGCCTAGGTGACAGAGCAAGACTCCCTCTCAAAACAAAAGAGAAAGAGAAAGAAAGAAAGAAAGAAAGAAAGAAAGAAAGAAAGAAAGAAAGAAAGAAAGAAAGAAAGAAAGAAAAGAAAGAAAGAAAGAGAGAGAAAGAAAGAGCGAGCATGGGAAATCTCATCATTCAGCCTCAATGCTGTACCCTAGAAAATTATGAGAAGGGAATGATTTGGGGAACAAATGACAAGATGGGATACCGGTACCGTAACAGAACAGCACATCTGCAGGGATGTGGGGGATGAGCCGAAGGTTCACTTACGGAGTTACTCGTCATCTTCCTCAGGGTCGCTGATCTCTTCATAAATCACCAGCTGCTTTCTCTCACACAGTCTGTGGGTCCAGGCATGTTTCCCCCTTTTGGGTCCTACGATGGGGAACAGTTGGAAGATGAGGGTTGGGTAGATTGGAGAGTGTTAGGCTCTGTTTTCTAAAAAAAGGAGATGCCACCCTCCGCACCAACTGCCCATGGTCCTCCTTCATCCAGTTTTTCACATCATCTGGCTTAGAGTCTGAAATCTTAGACCCACACCAATATAGGCCAAATGCCAATTACAGTTTTAGCTTCTGGTTCCTTCTGTTGTCAGGTTTAGATTCCCAACCTCTTCACTTACAGGAACATTCATGGATACCTCCTTTCATGCTGCACATATTTGTTAAGGGCACACAGGCAGACCTTGTTTTATGGCACCTCATTTTCATACTGCTTCACAGATACCACAATATTTTTTTGGAGATTCTCACCAATTTTATACTTTTCCATTACTATTATATCTGTTATGGTGATCTGTCATCAGTGAGTTTTGAGGTTATTATTGCAAAGGTTTTTGTTGCTTTTTAGTCTTTTAAAATAATTTTTGTTTTTTATTTTGTGGGTCCACAGTAGGTGTATATACTTATGGGGTATGTAAGATGCTTTGACACAGGCATGCCATGCGTAATAATCACATCATGGAAAATAGGGTCTCCATGCCCTCAACCATTTATCCTTCTGTTACAAACAATCCATTTACACTCTTTTAGTTTTTTTTTAAATGTACCATTAAGTTATCATTGACTATAATCACCCTGTTCTATGTAATTGCTTTGGGGGTACCAGGAACTGCACCCATAGAAGATGACAAACTTAATCGACCAATGTTGTGTGGTCTGACTGCTCCACCGATGAGCTGTTCCCCATCTCTCCTCCTTCTCTCGGGCCTCCCTATTTCCTGAGACACAGCAACACTGAAATTAGGACAATTAACAACCCTACAATGGCTGCTAAGTGTTCAAATGAAAGGAAGAGTCACATGTCTCTCACTTTAAATCAGAAGCTAGAAATGGCTAAGCTTAATGAGGAAGGCATGCTGAAAGCCAAGACAGGCTGAAAACTCGGCCTCTTGTACCAAACAGACAAGCTGTGAGTGCAAATGAAAAGTTCTTGAAGGAAATAATAGTATATAATGCAGAGGAAAAGTATTAGTATTATAACTAATACTCCAGTAAACACACGAATAAGAAAGCAAAACTGCCTTACTGCTGAAATAGAGGAAGTTTGAGTGGTCAGGATAGAACATGAAACCAGCCACAACATTCCCTTAAACCAAAGTCTAATTCAGAGCAAGACCCAAACTCTCTTCCAGTCCATGAAAGCTGAGAGAGGTGAAGAAGCTACAGAGGAAACGTGTGAAACTAGCAGAGGTTGGTTTGTGAGGTTTAAGGAAAGAAGCTGTCTCCATAACATAAAAGTGCAAGGTGTAGCAGCAAACCCTGATGGAGAAGCTGCAGCAACTTATCCAGAAGATCTAGCTAAGATCACTGATGGAGGTGGCTCCACTAAACAACAGATTTTCAATGTAGATAAAATAGCCTTCTATTGGAAGGAGATGCCATCTAAAACTTTCACAGCTAGAGAGGATTCACTCCAACTTTGAAGGAAGTTCTAATGTGGGTAAAAGCTATCCAATAGCATCACATACTACAGAGATATGCTTCATGAAAGGGAGAGCTAATCAATGTGGCAAGTTTCATTGTTGTGTTCAAGAACCTGCCATAGCCACTCCACCCTTCAGCAACCACCACTTTGATCAGCCAGCAGCCATCAACACTGAGACAAGACCCTCCACCAGCAAAAAGAGCATGACTCCCTGAAAGCTCAGAAGATTGTTAGCATTTTTAATAATGAATTATTTTAAAATTAAGGTATGTACCTTTTTACACATAACGCTTGCACACTTAGTACACTACAGTGTAGTGTAAACATAATGTTTTTATGCACTGCGAAACCAAACAAAAAAAAAATGTGTGTGACTCTCTTTGTTGCAGTGGTCCGGACCGAACCTGCAATATCTCTGAAGTACACCTGTATTGGGTATCAGGCATTGAGCTGAGTAAGATATGATCCCGGGTTATCACAGACAGAATTGCTTGAGCACATTTCATGTCATCAGGCTTCTAGATTAAATTTAATGCCTCCAAACAATTTATGAACTACGATTCTTTATTTCCATCTTATGGACTAGGAATCTGGAATTGAGAAAATTTGGAAGACTTGCCCCAAGTCACGTGGTTTTTTATATGGATGACAACTCCAGTCTGTGTCTCTGGAAGTCATGTCTAGCATCTCATCTGGAGCTGGGTGAGCTCCTCAGCCCAGCCTGGACCCAGGCTTGTCTGGGATCCATGCCACACACCCAGTCCACACACCTGAACATAGCCAGGGAAGCCAGAGGGGTTGTTCCCGAACTGTTTCCTCTTACCAGATCTCTTGTTAGTCTTCTCAGAGGTGTTTGCTTTCCCCGGGGGGCACAGCTGTTTCCCATCATTTTTTGGACCCGATGTTTCTGACACTCCCTTCAAATCATTTCCTTCTTCTGCTGGTGCTGGCTTCTTGGGCATGATCTTTATAATATGAAGGTCACAGATAAACAGTATCAGTCACATTTCTATAGTGCTTTTGAGCTTACACAGCGTCTTCACATGCATTATCTTAATCAATGTTCTCAGAAACACTGGGAGAGTTACACATGCCTAAATTAGGAGAAACTTGGCAAGTTAGAAGCAAAAGGATTGGCCTGAATGGATGGGGTCGCCCGGGCTAGAATGGTTATCCTCACACTCTTTTAAGACTGATACTCTTGCGAACAGTAAAAATCTCCATGTAATTGAGAGTTTGGTATACAAAAGATCTGGAGAAAAATGGCATTCTTAGAATTCACAAAGTCTACAAAAGGAAGAGCTTCTATAAAGTACAAGGCATCCCATATAAGCTTGTAGACAGCTCCTGGGAGAGTAAATGTAAAAACATAGGGAGGCTACAAAACACTGCTGGGAAAGATGGAGTAGAGAGATGAGTACAGGGAAGGGAGAGGTAAAGAAATGGTTTGTTGAAATTAATGCAGGCAGCAAAGAAAGCAGATATGACATACCACCCTACAAAGGCACCAACATTGAATGTGGAATTAAGTGAGGTGGTACTCATAACAATTCTGGTTGCATTGGGATGTGTCACTGACCAACAATGTTAAACTACCTTTTTTTTTTTAATTTATTTATTTATTTATTATTATTATACTTTAAGTTCTAGGGTACATGTGCATAAGTGCAGGTTTGTTACATATGTATACTTGTGCCATGTTGCTGTGCTGCACCCATCAACTCGTCAGCACCCATCAACTCGTCATTTACATCAGGTATAACTCCCAATGCAATCCCTCCCCACTCCCTCCTCCCCATGATAGGCCCCGGTGTGTGATGTTCCCCTTCCTGAGTCCAAGTGATCTCATTGTTCAGTTCCCACCTATGGTGAGAACATGCGGTGTTTGGTTTTCTGTTCTTGTGATAGTTTGCTAAGAATGATGGTTTCCAGCTGCATCCATGTCCCTACAAAGGACACAAACTCATCCTTTTTTATGGCTGCATAGTATTCCATGGTATATATGTGCCACATTTTCTTAATCCAGTCTGTCACTGATGGACATTTGGGTTGATTCCAAGTCTTTGCTATTGTGAATAGTGCCGCAATAAACATACGTGTGCATGTGTCTTTATAGCAGCATGATTTATAATCCTTTGGGTATATACCCAGTAATGGGATGGCTGGGTCATATGGTACATCTAGTTCTAGATCCTTGAGGAATCGCCATACTGTTTTCCATAATGGTTGAACTAGTTTACAATCCCACCAACAGTGGAAAAGTGTTCCTATTTCTCCACATCCTCTCCAGCACCTGTTGTTTCCTGACTTTTTAATGATTGCCATTCTAACTGGTGTGAGATGGTATCTCATTGTGGTTTTGATTTGCATTTCTCTGATGGCCAGTGATGATGAGCATTTTTTCATGTGTCTGTTGGCTGTCTGAATGTCTTCTTTTGAGAAATGTCTGTTCATATCCTTTGCCCACTTTTTGATGGGGTTGTTTGTTTTTTTCTTGTAAATTTGTTTGAGTTCTTTGTAGGTTCTGGATAATAGCCCTTTGTCAGATGAGTAGATTGCAAAAATTTTCTCCCATTCTGTAGGTTGCCTGTTCACTCTGATGGTAGTTTCTTTTGCTGTGCAGAAGCTCTATAGTTTAATGAGATCCCATTTGTCAATTTTGGCTTTTGCTGCCGTTGCTTTTGGTGTTTTAGACATGAAGTCTTTGCCCATGCCTATGTCCTGAATGGTACTACCTAGGTTTTCTTCTAGGATTTTTATGGTATTAGGTCTAATATTTAAGTCTCTAATCCATCTTGAATTAATTTTCGTATAAGGAGTAAGGAAAGGATCCAGTTTCAGCTTTCTACTTATGGCTAGCCAATTTTCCCAGCACCATTTATTCAATAGGGAATCCTTTCCCCATTTCTTGTTTCTCTCAGGTTTGTCAAAGATCAGATGGCTGTAGATGTGTGGTATTATTTCTGAGGACTCTGTTCTGTTCCATTGGTCTATATCTCTGTTTTGGTACCAGTACCATGCTGTTTTGGTTACTGTAGCCTTGTAGTATAGTTTGAAGTCAGGTAGCGTGATGCCTCCAGCTTTGTTCTTTTGACTTAGGATTGTCTGGGAGATGCGGGCTCTTTTTTGGTTCCATATGAACTTTAAAGCAGTTTTTTCCAATTCTGTGAAGAAACTCATTGGTAGCTTGATGGGGATGGCATTGAATCTATAAATTACCTTGGGCAGTATGGCCATTTTCACGATATTGATTCTTCCTATCCATGAGCATGGTATGTTCTTCCATTTGTTTGTGTCCTCTTTTATTTCACTGAGCAGTGGTTTGTAGTTCTCCTTGAAGAGGTCCTTTACATCCCTTGTAAGTTGGATTCCTAGGTATTTTATTCTCTTTGAAGCAATTGTGAATGGAAGTTCATTCCTGATTTGGCTCTCTATCTGTTACTGGTGTATAAGAATGCTTGTGATTTTTGCACATTAATTTTGTATCCTGAGACTTTGCTGAAGTTGCTTATCAGCTTAAGGAGATTTTGGGCTGAGACAATGGGGTTTTCTAAATATACAATCATGTCATCTGCAAACAGGGACAATTTGACTTCTTCTTTTCCTAACTGAATACCCTTGATTTCTTTCTCTTGCCTGATTGCCCTAGCCAGAACTTCCAACACTATGTTGAATAGGAGTGGTGAGAGAGGGCATCCCTGTCTTGTGCCAGTTTTCAAAGGGAATTTTTCCAGTTTTTGCCCATTCAGTATGATATTGGCTGTGGGTTTGTCATAAATAGCTCTTATTATTTTGAGGTACGTTCCATCAATACCGAATTTATGGAGCGTTTTTAGCATGAAGGGCTGTTGAATTTTGTCAAAAGCCTTTTCTGCATCTATTGAGATAATCATGTGGTTCTTGTCTTTGGTTCTGTTTATATGCTGGATTATGTTTATTGATTTGCGAATGTTGAACCAGCCTTGCATCCCAGGGATGAAGCCCACTTGATCATGGTGGATAAGCTTTTTGATGTGTTGCTGAATCCGGTTTGCCAGTATTTTATTGAGGATTTTTGCATCGATGTTCATCAGGGATATTGGTCTAAAATTCTCTTTTTTTGTTGTGTCTCTGCCAGGCTTTGGTATCAGGATGATGTTGGCCTCATAAAATGAGTTAGGGAGGATTCCCTCTTTTTCTATTGATTGGAATAGTTTCAGAAGGAATGGTACCAGCTCCTCCTTGTACCTCTGGTAGAATTCAGCTGTGAATCCATCTGGTCCTGGACTTTTTTTGGTTGGTAGGCTATTAATAATTTTTTTTTTTTTTTTTTTTTTTTGAGACACAGTCTTACTCTCTTGCCAGGCTGGAGTGCACTAGCGCCATCTTGGGCTCACTGAAACATCCAACCCTGCATTCAAGCAATTATCCTCCCTCAGCCTCCAGAGTATCTGGGACTACAGACAGGCGCTACCACGCGCTGCTACATTTTGTGTTTTTACTAGAGATGAGGTTTCACCATGTTGGCCAGGATGGTCTCGATCACTTGACCTCGTGAACTGCCTGCCTCGGCCTCCTAAAGTGCTGGGATTACATTCGTGAGCCACCGCGCCCAGTCCTTAAGCTACTTGTTATTCAGCTCCCTCACTTATGAAATAGAGAACAATACATATAAAATAGGCTAAGGGAAAGTCCTCTCTGAGATGTACACACTGTTTAAATGTAGTAATAATAGCAATTAACACCTTTCTGGAGGAATGTGATCCTCCACATTCCTTTACCCTCTAAACCAGAGTTGAATCTGCACTTGTGGGATCACTCATTCAAGGGCCTCTGAGGGATCCCCTGGGCTGGGACTGGGGCTTCCTGGATGCCCCAGGTGCAGACAGGGCCCTCAAAGAGCTCACATAGGGAAGGGTCAACAGTCAAAGGGACTCTTAGGCCATGTGAGTGGCCCCAGTTACAGAGCAGAGGTCAGCTGGTCCTTCCTGTTGCGAGAGTGAGTGTCTAAACAGAAGCACCAGCAGGCCCTATGGGGTAAAGCCCTAGTGAGCAACATCTAAATCTCATAAACAAATGCAAACGTGAATGAGCTTTAAATGGCTTAGAGCACTGAATTAGACTACCACTGCCACTGCGCCTCAGGAACATTCTTTAACATCTCTGTACCCCGATAGCCTCATTTTATTATTATGTTGCTGATAACTATGATCTGTAACATGAACTATGATTCTTTACTTCCAATGCATGGACCAGGAATCTGGAGCTCAGAGAACTTAGAAGATTTGCGCCAATTCACATGGCTATTATATGGATGACAATCGAAGTGTGTGACTCTTTATTATTTGGAGATAATAATAGACACAATGTCATAGAGGTCTCCTTAAAGATTAAATAAATTAATCTATGCGAACTGCTTAAAATAGTATCTGGTATCACTATGAAAACAAAAGAAGTATTAAGGATCACAACTCTTAGTATTATCAAGCTGTCGATGCTACATCAGGTGTTGTGATAGACATGGGGAGGAGGAGGCAGTGAGGGCATATTTTAAATTCTCCCACTGTTACCAGTGTTCACATCCGTGAAGGGACAAACGTTCTCTGGTCCTTTAGATTTGAGAGATACTCACCTTCGGGAAGATTCCCTGGAGCATGCTGAAAGTTGAAAGCTGAGGACGTTCAACTGAAAGAGAATACATCAGAATTTTTCTTTGTTGGTAAAGATTTCCAAACTCTAGAGAGACTTCTGTCACATCAGGGTATTTTGCAGCGGAGGGTTATGAGTCCACTCATTACTGAGGAGTTATTTGAGATTTGCTTCTGAATTATGTTTAGTCATGGTTGGTGCATTTATCTGTGGCATCAATTCAGAATTTTCCATCTCATTTTTTATCACGTGGGAACTAAACCCCACCACAGTCTCATCTTATTCCATTATATATATTTTACTTTTTCCCAAACAATTAAATTGATTGGTTGGGAACTTGAACTGTATCCACTTAAGATGTACAACAACTAAAAATCACTGTACACTTCAAATGGGTGAATCTTATGGTATGTCAGTTAAGCTGTTAAATGTGTGATGAACCATGGATGATTTAGTCCAGTGGCTCTGAAATATTTTCAGTATAAAGACACTCCTTTAATGTCAAAAACTTGGCAGATACTCAAGCACTGGATTTTCAGATCTCTTATAGTGATTGTGGGGGATTGTAGAATCTGGCCTGTGTAGATGGGGAGTAATAGGTTTATTGGAGGCAGTTTGGACATTCTGACCTTGTCTTATAATTGTAGCAAGTAAACACATATGTCCCCTTAATAGTCCTGAAATGCACAAAGATCTCTATGCAAGAACCTGTCTTTTTTCACCCTATGTTATCTCTGCTCACTGAGAAGTGGGAAAGCTCTCTGTGTGTTGGATGAGGGATCACTCTTTCAAACTCTCTTCCAAGCTCACCATGGAGAATTAGGGTTGTTTGGGAATGAGAAGACTGTTTGGTTTTGATAAAATACAGAAAAACAGCGATCTTTATTACATAGTGTGTTCATCACCCTCACTCCTAAGATACCTATCCAATCTACATGCTGTTAATGAAACAAACTCTGAAAGTTTTTGGCAGATCTACAGTTTTAACATTTTCTTTCTTTTTTTTTTTTTTCACTTGTAACATTTTCTTAACTGCCCTTTCATTCATTAACAGTGCTTAGGAAGAACAACATGTCCTTTAAAAAGGAAATATTTCAAACACACAGAAAAGTATAGGAAATAATATTGAGTCCAGTCGGATCTCAACATTATCCCACAGATATATTAGGTCTGATTTATTTATTCAAAATATTAGAAATACTACAAACAGGCCAGGCGTGGTAGCTCATACTTGTAATCCCAGCACTTTGGGAGGCTGAGGCGGGTGGATCACCTGAGGTCAGGAAGTTAGACCAGCCTGGCCAACAAGGTGAAACCCCATCTCTACCAAAAATAAAAAAATTAGCTGGGTATGGAGGCGGGTGCCTGTAACCCTAGCTACTCGGGAGGCCGAGGCAGGAGAATCACTTGAATCCGGGAGGTGAAATTTGGAGTGAGCTGAGATTGCTTTATTGCACTCCAGCCTGGGCGACAAGAGCGAAACTCCATCTCAAAAACAAACAAAACACACTATCAACAAGTCACGACTGAAGCTGTCTGTGCAGCACTCACCAATCCCTGCCCTCCCTCCCTCCTCCACTTACAGTCAGTCACCTTAATTTGATGGCTTTTTATTCACATTCATGTTTGTATACATTTACCATTTACTTATTATCCACAAAAATATATATTCTTGTTTTACATGTTTTAAAATTTTATATGAATGGCCTCTATAGTTAACTTTCTGCATGCGATTTTTTTTCACTCAGCACTTGTGTGTGTGAGGGAACAAATGCCTGAGGATCTTTCCCAGGTCGCTGAGCTGAAAAGCAGTTGGGCTTCAGGAGACCCTTTCCAGCCCCTTCCCATCTACTCACCCTGATTCCCGCAGTTACGGTCATTATCAAAATCATTCCTCTGGAAGTCTGTGGCCCGTTTATTATGCATGAAAGGTGGGAGGGTGACCCTGAAACCTACAAAGAAGTAAAATGTTTATTACTTAAGGGACAAGCTTAGGCCTGGTATGGTGGTTCATGTCTGTAGTACCAGCACTTTGGGAGGCTGAGGCGGGAGGATTGCTTGAGGCCAGGAATTCAAGGCTGCAGTGAGCTATGATAGCACTACTGCACTCTAGCCTAGGTGACAGACTGAGACTCTGACTCAAAAAGAGAGAGAGAGACAAGCTGAGAGAAGGTAGGCTGGGTGTGTCTGGGGTGGGGGTTGGGGGTTTCCAGGATGCCACAGAGACAGTTGGGCTCATCAGAAAAGATGCCTATGGGAGAGAAACATGCAGGATCCAGATATGAGCTCCACTGTGGCCAGTTCCTGCCCTCAGCCCTGACAGGATACGGAAGAGCAGAACACCTAGAAGCTGCCTTGTGATTTTTCCCTGCACAAAAGGAAGATGTGGAGTACTTTCTGCAGCCTAAGAAGTAGCCGAAGCAGGAAAAGGGATGCTCATGTGTCCCTAGTCTTATCTGTACCTAGAACTTTCTGCTACCTAGTTTAGTCATGGCCTCATACTTTCTCTTCATATACACATAGATGATTTTCTCCGAGTATTTCATCTTTTCCCACTCTTTCTTAGAGAAGCATTTGGCAATATCATCAAAAGCCTAGAAAAAAAAAAAAGAAAAAGAAATTTTGGCAGTGACTCAGCTAGGCATGTCTGCCATTCAGCTGGAGCCGCTTCCTGTGTGCTGGATCTGGGAAATGGGGATGATAATCCGTCCTTGGTTGATGCCATGGCTAACTGAGACAACATCGGAGACCTACCCTAGCTTCTCCCCTGCCACACAGTAGGGCTTTAATGTTGCTGGCTGGCTCTTGTCCCACCTTGTAGAATGGAGTGAGAGTCACCAAATGTAGTGCAAGGTCACAGACTTGTCTCCAGGGATGCTAGGTGATGACAGAGCAAGGGTGGGAGGCTCCCAAGGGTCCAGATCTCCCCCAAGACCCTGCTCCTGGTCCCCAGTATCTCTGTCCTTCCCTGCTCAGAAACCTGCTCACCCCACACTGTCCCCTGGGCCACTACTGTACCCTCTCCAGGTCACCTCACCTTTTGTATCTTCTCTGGTATTTGAGCACCAACATTAGGTCTCCTTGCAAAGGCGTCATCGCTGTTCATGGCACTGGGAGTAGTCTGACCTGCAAGAGAAACTGCCTGAGACTTTCCAGGTGCAAGACCTTTGGTCCTGTGGAGGGAAAAATCAGTGACGGCTGGCCACACTCAGTCACCTGGAATCAGGTGCTGCATTTCTCCATCAGGGGCTTATCTGTCCCTGAGTAAGGACATGGGGAGAAATCAGATGACAACAGGGAACCAGCGATCTCTGGGAGAAGTATTGATTGGGGATAGCAGGTTTCCTTAGGGCAAAGCAGACTTGAGTCTTTGAGAGGGGTTTAGCTAATGTTGTCAGTACTTTCCCTGTGGCTAGGCTTACCTAGACCCTTCTTGGGGAGGCAGGGATGTGACTGTGTAATTGTATTGAGTGGGGGCATTCTGACACCCCCACTGAATAAATAAAGTAAGGGAAGTGAGTCCCAGAGATAACATGGTCTCTCTGGTGATGGATCTGATCAGGTAGAGGGATAGGGGGTTCTGTTCTGTCGAAGAGAAATGAGCATCACTAATATGAACTGGTTCAGAGGTTATTACTGGGTGATTTGTAAATTATAAGAAGGAAGAGAGCTAGAACTTCTGAGACTACAAGAGCCCACCAACACTTAGAGAGAATGTGGGGCGTTTCAAGATGCAGCACTCAGCCAGGGGCAGTGGCTCACGCCTGTAATCCCATCTCATTGGGAGACCGAGGCATGCAGATCGCTTCAGCCCGGGGGTCGAGGCCAGGCTGGGAAAAATAGCAAAACCCCGTGTCTACAAAAAATACAAAAAATTAGCTGGGGGTGGTGGAGCAGGCCTGTACCATCCCAGCACTTTGGGAGGCCAAGGTGGGCAAATTGCTTGAGCCCAGGAGCTTGAGACTAGCCTAGTCAACATGGCGAAACCATGTCTACTAAAAAACCCAAACAAAAAAAAACCTTAGCAGAAGCCAGGTGGTGTGCACCTGTAGTCTCAAGGCCTAGGTGAGACGATCACTTGAGCCCAGGAGGAAAGATTTCAGTGAGGTTTCTTTTTTTTTTTTTTTGGAGACAAGGAGACAAGGTCTTGCTCTGTTGCCCAGGCTGGAGTGCAGTGGTGTGATCTTGGTTCACTGCAACCGCTGCCTCGTGGGTTCAAGCGATCCACCAGCTGTGGCCTCCAAAAGTGCAGGGATTACAAGCGTGAGCCACCACGCCCGGCCCAACTTTCTTAAGTTATTACAGGGTTTCCAGGAAAAATCCCATACCTGAAAAAGTTAGAAACTGACAGAAAGGATTTGAGATGGCGACCTGCCTCATACACACTCCTTATTAAAACTAGATAACAAATGCATCTTGGAGGAGGGGAGGGATAGGAAGAATGGAAAAAGAAAATCAGCGAATGCTTACTCAAATTTTGGAAGAATCGAAAGAGAATATCAGAGCATGCATACTCTGCGGAAGAACAGAAACAGAAAGACAGAGCATGCACACTCTGAACTTAGTAGCCAATCCCTGGGGATGCTTTAGGTGGGAAAATCAGAGTCTCCACCCTAACTTTGAGAAGATTCTGTCCCTGGAGGCTGGACTAATAGAAGCCACATCAGCTTCCCTTTTTCCACCTACACTTCTGACTTCTGATTGGCCAGATGGAGTTCACTAACTGCCCTGATTCGTTCATCATCCTTGGGCAGTGACATTGCAGAATATTGTCTCCTCCTCCAGCCACACTTTGTTGCCACTGAGACAAAGTGGGTGGTCCTCAGGTGCCGTCAGGAGATTTTGATCTCTCTGAAGACTGTCCCTGGATCTTGGGTTAAACATCTGTATTCTAGTCTGAACAGAGAGAAGAAAAAAATTGTCGGATCTGTGATTTTTCTACTTGTAAGACACAATGTTTTCCAAACTAGCACATTTGCAGAGAGCTTTGCTGTACTTAGTCGTGATGTTCATTCTTCAGTGGCTTCTATATCTGTTGCAACGGAAAAAGTCAGTCCAAAGCCCTCCAACCTCTGATCACATTTTTGAAAGGGAATCTAGGTGTGGTGTGCAAAATTACCATCCTTTACCTGTAGCCCTGGAGAGAGGAAAATGTACTTACTTATGTGATGTGATTGTGGTATTGGTTACATCCGCCTTGGCCAATCCTCCTTCTTCGTTCTCAGGACTACAGGCGTAAACCACCCCACCCCCACTAATATTTTTTGTTTTTTTATTTTTTAATAGAGACCGTTTCCCTATGTTGGCCAGGCTGGCCTCAACGTCCTGGGCTCAAGGGATCCTCCCACCGCAGCCTTGAGACTACAGGCATGCACCACCCTGCCCATGCTTTTTTTTTTTTTTTTTTTTTTTTTTTTTTTAGTAGAAACCGAGTTTCTCTATGTTGACCAGGCTGGCCTCAACCCCTCCTGGGCTCAAGAGATCCTTCCACCACGGCCTCGGGACTACAGGCATGCGCCACCCTGCCCACGCTTTTTAAAATTTATTTATTTATTTATTTTTAGTAGATACCGACTTTCGACAAGTTGCCCTGGCTGGCCTCAATCTCCTGGACTCAAGTGATATTTCCCCTCGACCTCAGGACTACAGGCGTGTGCCATTTGGCCCTGTTCATTTTAATTATTTATTTATTTATTTATTTATTTATTTATTTATTTTAGGAGAGACAGGCCTTCGCTATGTTGGTCAGGCTGGTATCGACCTCCTGGGCTCAAGCAATACTCCCACTTTGGCCTCGGACCTACAGGGGTGAGCCACCCTGCTCACGCTATTTTTTGTTGTTGTTGTTCTTGTTGTTAGTAGAAGTGGGATTTTGCTATGTTGTCCAAGCTGGCCTCGACCTCCTGGGCTCAAGCAATCCTCCTGCCTTGGCCTCGGGACTACAGGCTCACACCATCCCGCCCCCACTAATATTTTTAATTTTTCTAGTAGAGATAGTTTTGCTATGTTGTCCAGGCTGGTCTCTACCTCCTGGGCTCAAGCGATCCTTCCGCCTCGGCCTTGGGACTACAGGCATGCACCACCCTGCCTTTTGCTATGTTTCCCAGGCTGGTCTTGACCTCCTGGGCTCACTCAATGATTTGAACCCGGGAAGCGGAGGTTGCATTGAGCTGAGATCACACCACTGCACTCCAGCTTGGGCGACAGAGCAAGACTGTCAAATAAATGAATACAGGAAAGAGAGAAAAGAAAAGGAGAGGAAAGGAGAGGACCAGCTGAATCTCCATAAGAACAGTAAGCTTTGTGGTATTTTTAACTTACTCTCATCCCATCTCGTGCTCCCAGCTTAGTTCTGTTCATTGCTGATTAAATTCAGATAGGATTGGCCAGAACTGGTAGATGGCTGGCTGTTGATCAGAAAGGCCCTTTCCGGGGGCTGACACTCTGTGTCTGCGATGCTGTGGGATGATGACATAATGCTCACCATTAAGCCAGGGGAACATGGGTCCACATATGGTGGCAATCCACTAGGTTGCTGAGTGGCCATTGCAGCCCTTGAGGTTTTAGAAGAAGAAAACCTTGCTGAAAATGCAAGGTTTTTATCTCAAGGGTATTATCTTGAGAAACGAACCCGTGAAGCTACCTTCTGATGTTGTGACTGCCGTAAAAGGAAAATGATTATGTTGTTTATTCATTTATTTATTTATTTATTTTGAGTAAGAGGTTCACTCTGGTTGCCCAGGCTGGAGTGCAATGGCACAATCTTGGCTCACTGCAACTTCTGCCTCCTGGGTTGAAGCGATTCTCCTGCCTCAGCCTCCTGAGTAGCTGGGATTACAGTCATGTGCCCCTATTCCCAGCTAATTTTTGCATTTTTAGTAGAAACGGGGTTTCGCCATGTTGGTCAGTTGATTCGAACTCCAGAACTCGGGTGATGCACCTGCCTCGGCCTCCCAAAATGTTGGGATTAGAGGCGTGAGCCACTGTGCCGGGGAGGAAAAGAATTATTAAATGCTATTGTTATTCAAGAAAACAAAGATTGTGATGCTTGGAAGGTATGTCTACAACTTCGAGATTATGGACTTCTGGCCAAGCCAACCCATGGTGACATCATCAGGTTTCGCCTCTGCTGGTGGTCAAGGAGGATGAGATTCGAGAGTCCAGTGAAATCATTCAGAAGGCCATCTTGTCATTCTGAGGGTAGCAGCTGTTTTCGGTGGTCCCTGGGAGCCAGCTGGAGACAGGTGGTCCTCTGCTCTTAATGCAGGCACATTCCACTCCCATGTGTCTTCAAAATCTTTTTGTGGAATATATGTGTTTTTCAGTTGATACAAAAATATATGTTTTTTTCACTTGATACATGATAGAACAACGTTTTTGAACCTGCCTTTTGCTTTGTAACATAAGTAAGAGAATGTAATGGCATCTATATTCAGTGAAAATGTTTTGATGTGCAGAACATGGCCGAGTGCAGTGGTTCATGCTTGTAATCCCAGCATTTTGGGAGGGCAAGGTGGGCGGATCACTTGAGGTCAGGAGTTTGAGAACAGCCTGGCCAACACTGAGAAAACCCATCTCTACTAAAAATACAAAAATTAACTAGGTGAGGTGGTGGGTGCCTGTAGTCCTAGCTACATGGGAGACTGAGACAGGAGAATCACTTGAACCTGGGAGGCAGATGTCGCAGTGAGCCGAGATTCTGCCACTGCACTCCAGCCTAGGTGACAGAGTGAGAATCCCTCTCAGAAAAAAAAAAAAAAGAAGAAGAGGTACAGAACATTTTCATCACCACAATGCTATCCCTTGTGCTACTCATTTTTAGTAATACTCACTCTCCTCCCATCCACCATTCCTAACCCCTGGCAACCACTAAACACTTTTTCATTTCCACAATTTTGTCTTTTCTACAATGCTGTACAAATGAAATCTTATAGTATGTAACGTTTTCGGGGCTTATGCCACTCAGCATAATTCCGTGGAGATTCCTCCAAGATATTAATATTTGTGTATCAATAGTTCATTGTTGCTGTTCTTGTTGTTGAGACAGATTCTTGCTCTGTCACCCAGGCTGTAGTGCAGTGGCATGATCTCGGCTCACTGCAACCT